GCTCAAGTTTTGTTAATAACATATTGTTTACCTTTGCTTTTACATTTTTGCAGGGACGTGGTTCAAGGCCTTTTACACTTATACTTCAATTGTCAACGTGGGTGTGGCCACATAGCTTTCAACACCTTTGTTACAGGCAATGGCGAGGGGCGTATATTGCCTTCGATGGATGACAATGAAGAGAAGGGCTATAGCTCAAAGGATGTTGAAGATGATGCAAAGGAGTTGACAAGCCTTATGAAGCGTGTCATTACCTTCCCATTCATTGATGATGTCAAGAAGACCGAAGATGCAGAGCTAGCGGTGAATTTGTCTTCAGAGTTGGTGCATTTCTTCAATTTTACTTGCAAGTATAAGCCGTAAGTTACTTTTGTTTGTTTTCATTAGTTTTAATTTAGATTGTTCTTTTTAGAAGTCTATCATGGTGGGAATTTTGAAGAGAATACAACCACACCAAATACAAATTCCCCAATTGCAAGAGTAAGAGGATAAAAAACAGCAACAAGATAATAGAAAATAAGAACAAACAATAAAGACACGATGCACCCGAATTTTCACGTGGAAAACCCCTCAAATCGAGGGTAAAAACTACGGGTCACAAAGACCACCAAGCAAGCTCCACTATGACCAGAAATAGGGTACAAGAGTGTCTCAAACAAGGGCTCAAATCAGTATAAACATACTGCAAATATACTGCCACAACAAGGAGCAAACAACTAGAGAATACGCAGAAAAACCAGAAAATACTGCCTCTGTTCAGATGCAAATATCTCTGCCTGCAGACCTTCAAATCCAAAACTGACCGATGGAAATCAAGTTCAATGTGTCCCGAACCTGCCCCTAAAATTTCAGAACAATCGGGCACCGTTTGACCCTCCAAACAGCAGTCTGAAAAACGCTGCGCACAGAAATCCGAAAATGAACAGCTTCCTTCTCTCTTGATTTTTCTGCACTCTCTCTCTCTCGTTTTTTCTGCACTCCACCCTAACTCAACCTCTTGTTAACCTCTTATTTCATCAAAGAATGAGCTTGTGAAGGATTGGGCTTTACTTGGGCCTCCACATAGGAAGTGAGAGCAAAACCCTACATATCATTGTAGCATCAATCAGTAGTTGCATAAAACATTATTATAGTAGTTGCATAAAACATTATTATGGTTTATTGATAACAAATGCGTAAAAGGCTAAATATTTACCTACTTTGGTCCTGACTTTTTACTTTTCAGGGGTGTACCTCCATACTTTTGGCTAGATCATCCCTACTTTTGGCCTGTATCCCACCGTGTCAATTTTGCATATAAGCTCAGCAGGATATCAAAGAGGGATGTTTGGAATTTCTTTTTTGCTACACAGCTTGAAGA